AGTTGGGCAAGAAGTAACAGCTCTTCTTGCATTTAGTTTGGTTGTCTTTTACGTTTGCATGTCTTACTATCAGCCATGATTATTCCACTCTGTTAATTAAAAGGCTGTTTATATGCATATTCACTAATTGTTTACAAGAAGCATACATGTAAGAGGCTGACAATTAGCTAAACGTATACTTGTTTAATTAGTGACTTTTAGCCTGCATTTTAAAATATTTATTTGAATGTGGCAATTAACATTTTTATTTTTAAACCTTTATTTGAATATGGCAACATAAAATTGTACTGTACAATATTTCTATGTATAAATCTCTGACAGAGACAATCAGCCAATCACTGTGTGCATAGTTAGTAAGCATGCAGACATCATCAATAGCAACGAGGTCAACCCTGCCCCCTTACTCTTAGCTAAGACTTCTCTCTATTCCTTAGTAAAAGTTTGTCTCAGCAGCTTTGTGAATTGGTTTTAAGAGAGAACTCTTAGCTAAAAACTTTTACTGCTATTTAGGAGAACTCTTTGTGGTAAGATAAAATGTTTTGTGAATATGGGCCCAGATCTCATTTCCTTTTGGAAGATCATTAAGAATCTTGGTCCTAAAAAACATGTATGTGTCATACATCAAAATGCAATCAGACTCTGGGTTTTGTTTTGTCTCATTAATGTAATTTAGATGCAATCTTACTTCTGTTATCCATATTTTGTTCTTAATATCAACAATCTATCATTAATGGAGTTTGCCATCTTCTACAGCTGACATCAGTGATCAAACCCTTTTCATTCTGACTAGCAGTTGCAGTAAAACAGGCTTTTTTTGTATCCACACATTAACATTGCTGTTCATTTCTTCCATATGTCACTTGTGAAAGCATGTGGCAAGAGCGAACCAGAACTTGTCTAATGTATTTTTCTGGATTATATAGCACATTATAAAAGTGCTCTTGTGTGCAAATATCTGATAAGCATCTTTTAAAAGCAGCTTTATCTACATTCTAAATTATAAACATCTTAAAGCGATTAAAATGTCAAAATTTCACATTTGACAGGAAACATATTAGGGACATATTGAGCATCAGTAAAGCACCTAAAAAGACATGCCATCAGCGATATTTGTGCTTTCTCATATACAACCATGTGCGTCATTACTATAAAAACACGTGAGCTCTGTGTTGCTGATCACAGTAATGATTTTCTCTTTGAATCACCAATATATTGTGTGAAATTTTTAGAAGGCAGAGATAAGAGCAGAGGCTTGTATAAGAGCACTTGTCCTTTAATAGAGCCAGGTGTCGGTGGCATCCGTGGATATGCATGTGATAGCTGAGAACTGCACATTAAAAATAGTCATTATTGGCACAAAGTCCACAGTTTTTCTTTTGTCCTCACAATGACATATGGTAGGGGGTGTGAAAATCACCCCTCTTTAGCTTTCTGACAGCCTCATTCATTTTACCAGCACAGTGCACCGCGTTTGGAGAGGAAAAGGCTTAAACTGAGAAAAAAAAAGAACTGAGAAAGCATGCAGGATGCAGATAGCCCGATCTCATTATGGTTTGATGAACTGGTGAATTTGTATGAATTTGCACAATTTGAATTTTTAGAAGAATGCTAAGCATGAAAGACAGTAGGGCGTTAGCAAATAGTAAATGTAAGAATAAGATCAGAAATGTATATGAATTCACCACTGTTTTGCCAAAATGTCAAATAGTTATGAATGGCCATGAGTGTGTTGCTTTTTAATTCACCCAAAAATTAAATTTCTGTCATTATTTCCTCACCCTCATATTGTTCCAAAACTCCATGACTTCCTTTCTTCTGCAGAACAAAAAAGAAATTTTGAGAGCCCATTGAACCCTCTTGACTTTTACTACATAGGCAAAGCAGTTGAAACACAACATGACGGGGATTAAATAATGACAGATTTTTCATTTTGGAGTGAACTATTACTTTTAACTGTTGCTATGACTTACCATTATTGATTACATTTTAAATTTGCAGTGGACAGGAAAAATACTATAGGGCTTTCTTCTAATTAAGCAACCAGTAATTTAAATCAAACCTGACTTGGAGGCAGTCAATTCTTTAGTTTAATTTTAGGATTGACTGTATTACTACTCTAATTTGGGTGGACACACGGGGCGGTCAGTCTATTAAAATGTTTTGGGCAAAAAAAGCGAGGAGTCGTAAAACAACTCTGTGTGTAAGCTCTTTCACACTCTGAGCCATTTTAGGATTAATTACATAAGATTCAATGGACTAAATTACTATAGCCACAATCTTTATTACCTCAGGCTTCATTTACCCTCCAGTGCACTTTTTCCCTCTGCAAGTCTATAGAATCCATGTCAAACTTTTAATTATGTTGTATTCAGCAAAGCTAGTGGGTGGGATGAAAAGAGAAGATGAGCATAAAGCTCTGGTTCATTCAAATGGAGCAATCAACCAAAATGTTCTTGGTTTCATGCTATGGAATCCGTCTTCTTGATTAAATTTAATACATTATCATATCTGCTAAGGAAAAGAAACAGTCTCGCATTGGTTGTAAAAATCCTGCACCCTAAGGCCAAAGCGAAATGCAGTGATGACCCGAATGACTGCCGGCCCCCCTCTCGCCTGCTCTCCACTGTTTCTTGCGCCTTAGGTTATGTGCTGAGCAGTCCTGAACATACTAGCTCTCTGTTCCTTAATTTCCCCGGGGTGTTGCAGTAAGACTGCATGTGGGGGAAACTCTGCTACAAAATGACTGAAATGGCAGCTCAAAGGCCATGGTTATTTGATTTCAAAGTATTACAGAACCAAATTATTGGCCCCTTACAGCTGGCATGGGTCTCAAACTAGGTAAGAGTTCCTGGTAATAACTGAAAACAGCTGCAGTAGTTTTATATTTTGTCATTTCACAGAGGACTCTCTTTCTTACTAATAAGGGACCCGTTAAGTGATATGTTAACTTCTAAATTATCTAAGCTAACAGAGTGTGTTAAAAATGTAAAAGATTGGATGACCAATAATTTTCTCCTATTAAATTCGGATAAGACAGAGATATTACTTATTGGACCAAAAGACACAGAATCTCTTAGATTACAATTTGCAACTAGACGGATGTACTCTTACTCCCTCTACAGTCAAAAATCTGGGTGTTATATTAGATAGCAACTTGTCTTGTACAAATAAACTTGAATTGAATTGAATATGTTCATTCAAAGAGATATTGATAAAAAAATGCATTTACAGTAATATAACTGAAAAGCTGAGTAATTTCTGCAAAAATCCATTATTAATAGTGTGGTAATGTATGAAGCACAGCTCACAGAGAAGTCATTTTCAAACTAAGCAGCTTTGTGTTGGTCATTGCAGTGAATCTATGTGATCAATCTGTTGCAAAATCTGCGTGGGGAAATTATTCTTATCAAAATGACTGGATTTCACCTGAGGATGTTTGCAGAACAATGGTTAACATGACAGTATCTTTAGAAACATAAACATTCACATTGACAGTCAGATTGTGTCAATATGCCAGATCAAATAACATTTCAATTGACCTTAAAGGGATAGTTTTGTCATGATTTACTCACCCTCATGTCGTTCCAAATCTGTATGAGTTTCTTTTTTTATGTTGAACATAAAAATAAATTAAAAAAATTTGAAAAATGCTGGTAATCAAACATTTGATGGTCCCCATTGACTTCCATCTTTCCCTATTATGGATGTCAGTGGGGACCAAGGTTATTTTCGTAAACGAAAATTAAAACTAAGACTAAAACGATTGATGAAAAAACTATTTCGTAAACTGAAATAAAATAAAAACGTCAAAATAATTGAAAAACTAAAACGAAACTAATCTAACAACAGTTATGCCTAGCATCTTGTGATCACTCTGCCAGGCTTTTGAATAAATGTGCATTTGCTAAATCACATCATGCACACGCTTATAAGTCTTCATAAATGAAAAGAACATTCAAATATAAGCCTTTACTGTTAAATGCGATTGCCGTATAAAAATGTGTTCACAAAATAAAAACTGAACTAAAACTAACAAAAATATGAATTAAACTAATAAAAACTAAACTGAATTTTATAGCAAATTTGAAAACGATATTAAAATAAAATGAATTAAAAAATTCTAAACTATAATAACCTTGGTGGGGACAAGCTGTTTGGGTCTTCAAAATATCTTATTTCGTGTTCAACATAAGAAAGAAACTCATACAGATTTGGAACGACATGAGGGTGAGTAAATCATGACAAAATTTTCATTTTTGGGTGAACTATTCCTTTGATGCATATAACTCGCCCATAATTTTTCACAGCCACAACAGTTAACAAATGACAAGACACATTATAGTTGCATAACTTTCTAATCAAATCTAATTATGCAGCACCATCTCACTACAAACACATATTCTAGTGTGAATGATTTATTTATGATGCTGCATATAAAAACTTATAGAAACACCTGCACATAGATATTCAAGGTATTTTAGAGCAAATTAACATTTCCTTTTTTCAGACAGAATGTCTTAATGTGAGTGACAATCAGACAATTACACTGGACATTTACATTAGTACAAGAGATTTGCATCAGAGTACAAGCACAATACATTTGCCCCCACCGAAGCATGAAAATGATCTATTGTTGCAAGAGGCGTTTTTGTTATTGTGTTCGGCTTTTCTATGAAGTCCATGGTAAATCAGAGAAACAGTGCGCACGTCACATCCAACAGTCATTTGATGATTCATTTCAATCACTCCAAAGGAACATAACTGAAGATGGCTTAACCAAATTGCTTTGCTGGCCATGAAAGCAAGTGAAAATTGAAATACTGTATGATTTAAGGCAAAGACAGATACACTAAAGGCTGAACATTTAGAAGAAATGTCATTTTATGTTAAATACATAATTTACATTTTCTGTGAGTTCATACATTTTCTTCTACAATGTTATCAATCATAAAATAATTATTCATATAGCATTTTAAGTAACATTTAAATGTTAAAGGGGACTTAAGATGCAACTCTATACAGTACATATACACAGTTCTTGAATGCTGGACTAACCTAAAGGACACATTGGATGCATGGCTGTGAACATCACAGATAGTGAAATAAGATCAGTTTATTGGGGTTAATTGGGGTCAGTAATCTAGAATATATATTGTATTTCACATTGAAATCGACTTCAACAGTCTTTCTCCATACCAAAATTGTGAAACAGCTCTGTGCGGGAGGCCTAGCAAGACGCTTAAAGAGCTCCTATAGGTGAAGGTGTTAGACACCCGTGGTGACCTGCGTGGCATCCGAGCTCATGTCAACACTGGGCTGGCAGCGGGACTCCAGTGATGACATTTCCTGGACTAGTCATACCTGCTGATTCGTCCTGTCCACCGTGTGGCCGCTGGACTGGCCCTCGCGCTGGGGGTTCCTGGTGCGTGTGGAGTTCTGGAGGTCCAGCACGGACGGACTGGGAACACAGAACTCGCGGAAACAGCGCTTGAAGTTCTCATCCAGGAAGGCGTAGAGCACTGGGTTGAGGCAGCTGTTGGTGTAGCCGAGGGCAATGCAGAAATGCCAGGTGACGGTCTGCAGGAGCGAGTTGGGAATGGTCACCAGGGCCTTGATAATGACGAAGATGTGGATCGGCGTCCAGCAGACAATGAAAACCGCCACCACCACCAGGACCATTCGGGTGATGCGCCGGAGGTTGCGGTCCTTCTCCTTGGAGCCAGAAAGCATGCGTACACTCTTCAGGCGGAGGATCATTAAGCCGTAACAGATGGTGATGATGAGGACTGGCATGATGAAGGCAAAGATGAAGACACAGATCTTCAGGAGGTTCTCCCAGTACCAGGGAGGATGGGGAAAGAGCAAAGTGCAGTCAATGACGTCAAACGCTGTGAAAGTAAGAATATAGCACAGTACAATAACACAGTGAGTCATGTGAAAATCAATTCATATTTGTAAAAATGACAGTTAAACCACTAGTCATTATTTCTTCAAGGCATTGTTTAGGGAGCCTCAGAGACCCAGGCCTTTCTGCTACGGCTATTAAACGCCTTATGATTTTCGTCCCAAATGACTAGAAGTGACATCAATCTAAATTCACTCAATAACAATTTTCTGCCTCAACACTTCTTTCGTGTCTGCAAAATTTGTGTTGCCACAGTAATAATATGGGATGTTTCCAGTATTGAGGAAAATGTCTTAATATATTAAGAGGAGATGACGATAAGAACTGAGTTAGTGTGTTGAAGTGCAGTCTGTTCTGATAGGGTTGCGGAAAAACTATGGTACTGTATGTTGTATAAACATTACTTTCTAACATATTAACGTTATATGGTAATGTATAGGATGCTTTTTCTAGTTGTTTTAAATATAAATGTGTTCCATAAACCAATTCTTTTTTTAAACAATTGTTTGGCAAAATGATTATTAATTTACTAAGCTAAATTTAGTATGTGTCTTTAATGACGTTTTCATGAACAACCACCATAACACAAAATAGATTTCCTGTTCGTTTTGAATCATTCATTACCAAAAAATGACCCACGGTTCAGTGAGGGAGTTACTTGTTAAAAGGGTCATCAGATGCCCATTTTCCACAAGTTGATATGATTCTTTAGGGTCTTAATGAAAAGTCTGTAATATAGTTTGGTTAAAATTTCTCAATGGTAGTGTAAAACAACACCGTTTTTTACCGTGTCAAAAACAGCTCTTTTCAGCAGTAGCCCCTCACTGCAGAACACAAGATCCAGGGGCGTGTGGTTGGATCCACATCTAGGGGGTGGAGATTGGTAGGTTTAGCGGTGGAGATGGGTAGGTTTAGGCGGGGAGATGGGTGGGTTTAGGGATCAGGGGGTGGAGACGAGTAGGTTTAGGTATATGTAAGGTGGGAGGAGTTGGATCTGGATCCAACCACACCCCCTGGATCTTGTGTTCTGCAGTGAGGACCATCGCCTTTTCAGAGCAAGCTGTTTTCTTGCATGCCGCTTTAAATGCAAATGAGCTCTGCTCGCCACGCCCCTCTCTTCCGAGCCATTCTCTTAGAGACGGTAAACTTTAGACGCATTTATCGTGAAACTTGCTAACTAGCACGTTATTAGGAAAGGCGATTTGCAAAGATTCATTAAAAAACCTCACTTCTTCTGGAGGTGAAGCTGGATCACGAATGATTCGCGCGAAGATAGACGCATTTAGGTAGATCGGGGTGCATTCCCTTCAAAAACAAGTGTAATCCACTGTGCCTTCAGCGGCTCAGATGTCGGGAGTAAATGACAACTGCTATGTTCATTATTACATCCAACAACAAAACACCTCAGTCGCTTAGGAGACATCCTTTTCTACATCTGCTCCGGCGGTGAAACAATGGCGGACTGATGACAGCTCACTCAGGGCGGGTCTAAGGTAAAACACCAGTCCAGTCTGTGCTGAAACGCTACTGTCAATCAAACAATCGTGGGAGGGGCCTGTCTGTGTGATGACATCTGAGATCGGCTCGATTTGAGAAAGGGGAAATGATTTAATGAGATAAAAAAAAAAAAACTGGGGGGATCTTTATCATTATAGGGGGGTTGTGTACACACTCTGCCAACACACATTTCAGTTCAAACAGCTTGTAAAAGTGCATGTAGCATCCTATGACCCCTTTAAATGCACGAGTCTTTCGTTCTATATTCTTTCTTCTGTTGTATTTGTTACCTTGAGATGCACACATTGTAGTCATGCACATGCAGGTTTGTTGTTCCAGTTTACAGTGCAGATGAATACTAGCCAAGGACCTTTTGCTTTTAATATTGTCACAAAATGCTGATGTTACTTTGCAGCATACCACTTATGTCCTACAATTGCTGTGTGGTTTTAATTTGTTTTAAGTCATCAAACAAGTACCAAGTTTTTAGAAAATCTTTGTATTTATCAGTGTTATTTTAGTGTCATTGAGATACTATTATTGTGTATGTCGCATCCGATGACCCCTTTTCTGAATGATTGACTGATTGAGTGAGTTTTTTAAAACTGCTAACTCACAAAAGCGAATCGGATATTGCCTTTCGCACTAATGCATTGTGTTCATTGTAGTGAGCAGAAAAAACCCTGATGTGCGACACGCTTTATCAAGATGATATCTGACGAAACTGCAAATGACCGCACATGGAGATTTACCCAACTGTTGCCAGTATTGACTATTTTAAATTACTGTCGTAGATTTTTTGATTTAGTAGTCTGGAGCACTTGATTGTTGACGTGAAAATCTGTATCTAGTCTGTATCTGTATCTAGGAATTTGGGTACTTTAGCATGACACCATCTGTTTCTTTGTGCAGCCTAGTTACAAAGCAGTAGTTCATTTCAAAATGTAAAATTGATTGCATGTTTTCATTGTCATTGGCTTAAAGAAAAATTAAGACTTTCAGAGGTTCACTACAAAATGAAAAAAATATTTTATCTATTGCTCACTCACATCTTTCCAAATCTGTGTGACCTTCTTTCTTCTATGGAACACAAAAGAAGGTATTCTTCTTCTTTTTTTCTTCTACTCTATTGTATGGGGGGGTTTGTGTTCCACAGAAAGAATGTCATACAATGTCATGACAGATATTTCATTTTTGGGAGAACCATCCCTTTAACTGCAGTAATATCTGAATTTTACATAGAATGTGTATTGAATGTGGTGGCAAACATACGACTGCTGTGGTACTCAATAGTGGTGGAGGCCATGACCATGACAGGCAGACCGATGGCAGATGAGAGGATCCAGTTACACACGTTGACAATCTTGGCATTCCGGGGTGTTCTGAAGTCCAGGGCTTTAACCGGGTGGCAAACCGCAATGTAACGGTCGACGCTCATAGTGGTGAGGGTAAAGATACTGGTGAACATGTTGTAGTAATCAATGGACATCACGATCTTGCACAGCACGTCTCCGAATGGCCACGTACCCATCAGGTAATTCACACTCTGGAACGGTAGAGTGCTTGTTGCCAAGGCATCTGCTAAAGCAAGGTTGAAGATGTAGATGTTGGTCGCAGTTTTCATTTTGGTGTATCTGCAAAGGATAAAAATAGATTGAGATCATTACGTCAGCTGAGTTTATTAAATAAAAAGAGATGCAATGTGTATTCATGGAAAAGCAGTTTGATGAGTGTGAGTAATGGGGAAGTAATGGGGAAGTGAAGGTACAAGAAACGTTTTCTCAGAAAAATACTGAAATAAACAGAACAGACATGAAAGGACTCCCCACATGGTACACCTTTTCCCATATAACTGCCTAAAATGATTTCAGTTACAATACACATGGTGCATCAAGCCATTAAGAAAGGTACCTTGTGCATCTTGTAATGCAACTATGACCTTCATTCAAATGCTAATTTAAGAGGCTAGACAACCACCATTATATACACAATTATGCAAAATGTTGCAGCCTTGAGTAATAAAAAATCAACCCCGTAACATATTTACAAGCTTTTGAGCAGCTGTTTATCCAGTTTAAAGGTAGTGATATGAGGTGAGGTGTACAGACTCAAGGTAATGTTGTTTTATGGATGACATCCATAAAAACATGTATATTTAGAAATGCGCAGTTAAATTTCATTAGGATAGATAACCCTCTAGTAGAAAAGACCTCTTGTAGAATGTACGTACATGAGCAGACACATGGAAAAATACACTTGTTTGAATGTGACACAAAGAGGTGTTCGGATGGTTCAAACCTGATGTAAAGAAACCTTCAGACTTTTTGTGTTTCTCGTTCACACAACTTAAATTAGAAGACTTTTTTTCTGGATGGATGGACAGATAGATAGTTTTTCCAGACAAATTCTGATTTAGATTTTATCTCAAAAAGAAATGTTAAACCCTACTGTTCACAGAGGCAACACCAACCTTCACATTCATAATACCACTGTCGCATGAAAGAATGGTTCCACACATCACTAGCACAGCAAGCTACAATAATTACACAAGGCATTATTTCCATAACTGAGTGGCGCATGGTGTGATGAAATGGTAAGCCTTTGGTGCAGAAAATGGAAGATAATTTTTCAAGCTATTGTTTGATAAGAGAACCCCATGAATAATAGAGCAACAGGGGGATCTTTCAGTCGCTGAAAAATGTTATATTGATATTGATTTAAACAATCATTTTATCTGGAATAATAAAAACTGAGTGCAAAATTGTTGCCTGCATCAATCTAACAGCGGTTAAAATAAATATTGAACACGTCACCATTTTTCTCAGTAAATATATTTCTAAAGGTGCTGTTGACATGAAGTTTTTACCAGATGTTGGTAACAACCCAAGTAATCCATACATACAAAGAAAACAAAACAAATAAGTTCAGAAATTAAGTTATGTGTAATAAAATGGAATGACCCAGGAAAAAAAGTATTGAATGCTTACTGAAATTTATTTAATACTTCGTACAAAAGCCTTTGTTGGTAATGACCGCTTCAAGGCGCCTCCTGTATGGAGAAACTAGTCGCATGCATTGCTCAGGTGTGATTTTGGCCCATTCTGACAAACTGCCAGAATGGGAAAACTGACAAACAGTCTTCAAATCTTGAACGTTCTGTGGGCCTCTTCTATGAACTCTGATCTGTAGTTCTTTCCATAGATTTTCTATTGGATTCAAGTCAGGTGATTGGCTGGGTCATTCTAGCAGCTTTACTTTCTTTCTCTGACACCAATTGAGAGTTTCCTTGGCTGTGTTTGGGATCATAGTCTCGCTGAAATGTCCACCCTTGTTTCATCTTCATCATCCTGGTAGATGGCAGCAGATTTTTATCAAGAATGCCTCAGTACATTTTTCCATTCATCCTTCCTTCAATTATATGAATTTTTGCCAGTGCCACACCATGATGTTTTTGGGGTGATGTGCAGTGCCATTTGACCTCCAAACATGGTGTGTATTATGGCATCCAAAGAGTTTAATTTTGGTCTCATCTGACCAGACTATATTCTCCCAGTATTTCACAGGCTTGTCTAAATGTTGTGCAGCAAACTTTAAACGAGCTTCAACATGCTTTTTCTTCAGCAATGGAGTCTTGCATGGTGAGCAAGACCATACAGGCATGGTGAGACTGAATACAAGTTTATGGTGAAATAATGTTCTTTCCACATCTGGATTATGGCCCCAACAGTGCTCACTGGAACATTCAGAAGTATAGATATGCTTCTGTAATCAATGCCATCAGTATGTTTTGCAACTATAAGGTTGCGAAGGTCTCATGAAATGTTTCTTGTGTGACACGTTGGTAACAAGACACCTTTTTATAGGCCATCAGTTGAGACTGAACCAGCTAATATTAATTTTCACTGACAAGGGGCAGGATTGCTTTCTAATTACTGATAGATTTCACTTTATTATACAGAACTTAATTTCTGGACTTATTTGTTTTGTTTTCTTTGTATGTATGGATTACTTGGGTTGTTACCGACATCTGGTGAAAATTTCATGTCAACAGCACCTTTAGAAATATATTTACTGAGAAAAATGGTGACATGTTCAATACTTATTTTACCCGCTATGTAAGCATTTCATGAAAGCTTTTCATGAATAATGCATAACTCATGGAGACTTGGCTTGTTTCCATGAGATATATTCTCACTTTTAGCACCTATTTTCTGTGTTTAGGTCTCTGTCCCTTGCTTAATGCGGAGTTCTGAGACTGTATATCAACTCACTTCCTTCATCAAGAAAATTTGCGGATCTAAATGGTTAATTCCATAAACTATGTTAAGGAGAAAACTGCATTAAAGCATAATTTCTATGGCTGGTATTCTTCTGTAGTAAACACTACATCCAGATCAAAGTCTTCTTGGCAAGATAATAAACAAAAGATGAGCCGTGCACCAGTCTGAACTATGAAGATACACAAATTCTAATGTATTGCAATAGCAGCGGAGATGATAAATTAACAGCATTTGCACTGTAAACTACCATCTCAGTTAAAACGATTATGATTTGTTAGAGCTCCACTGTTTGACTTTCACAGAAATAAACATAAATCAGGACAAAGTCTTGTCTGTCAAAATGTATACAGTCGGCTATAAAAATATAGCCAGTGTGTGGACAAAACAACTTCTGCAAAAACATAGTGTGTGTCTGATAAATGCAGCTGCAGTTCCGCTTAGCTGGCTGTCACAGGCCAAACTCAAGAAAACACTGAAGGTCACAAACATGGACTGGCTAAGCCTTCAATCCCATTTACACGGCTGTTCCCATTCATAGGGTTTTCATACCTTGCACTTGATTTAAAGATGAGAATGATAATGCATTTCAGTACAGAGAGGAAGAAACAGCCTTATTTTCTTTGAAAATACGAATATTTAAATTATTTAAAATAATCATTTTTAAATGAAGAACAAAAATAGTTCAGTCCGTTCATCCATCTGTCAAGACTACTGTTTATAATTTTGGGGTTAGTTAATTCTTTTTTTTTTTAAAGAAATTAATACTTTCTACTTTCTATTCATCAACAAATCTTTAATCTTTTATGCATCACAATTTCCACAAAAATATTAAGAAGCACAACTGTTTTCAACTTTCAGCATATTAGAATGATTTCTAAAGGATGTGACACTGAAGAGTAATGACTGCTGAAAATTCAGCTTTGTCTTCACAAAATATATATTAACATAGAAAATAGCTATTTAAACTGTAATAATAATTCACAATACTACTGTTTATACTGTATTTTTTATTTATTTTGTATTTTTTGATCAAATAAATGCAGTCTTGGTGAGCAGAAGAGACTTTCAAAAACATTAATGTTCACATATTTATTTATTTATTGAAATTAATTTTCGCAACTTTTTACATCTTTTACCAATGTTTGTTAAATACTTGGAGCCAGGAATTAATTAAATTCCTGAATTAAATAAAAAAAGAAAATGTCAAAATGAAAAATATTAAATTAACAAAAAAGATATAAAGTCAACTTTGATTTTAGTCTACTAGTATAATTTGGCATACATTGCCAACAAAGTTAACAGGCCATTGTACATCTGAGCACATATGCAACAGATAAATGGAAATTACATTTAAAAAAAATTTCAAAATAAAAAAGTAATTAAAAAAATTTCAACAGCTGTAAAGCATTAGTGAAAATGCCTAGACACAACGCTCCTTCCCATGGTGAAGTGGGCAGATTCATTCATCACTAACTGGAAATCTCATACAAGGGTTTAGGCTGGCAGCCATTACTAATGATTAGCTTGTCATCCAAAGGCTCTTTGCACCAGACAAATGATCACACCGCTTATGCTTCCCACAAGGCACTGACTAATTATGAGGGCATCTCAGGGATGCACTGCTCCTCCGTACTTCACATTAAAGACATTTGAGATGAAATGCCAGGCCTTTGAGTCTAATCATTGAGTGGAAGAGCTGCTCTTTGGTGTTGTGAACACCACTTACTTGAAGCACATTAAAAATGTATTCATCATCTTGCTTGCTGAATCAACATTGATGATTAACAGTATATAGTTGTGTTTTGGATGCTGGTGAGCAGTTCTTTACAGAAACTGTTACTGTACATGTATGCCATCTCTGAATCTTTGGGGAAAAAAAAAACTGAGAGAAGTTTACCGATATCAGACAACATGCCTGGCAACCAAGACTTCTGATTAACCTAGAGGAAGGTGTGCAGTATTGCTTATGGAAAGAATTAGAAGTGTCATCCACCAGAGCACACTCCATAAGTTAAGTGACGACATCCAGCTGCTAACTCTGAGATGTAGACAGACACATGTCTTCCACAGTTAACACACACTCTACAGAGAGCTGTCAAAAGCAACTGTTCAAGCGTCAAAACATGGGAATGAAATACCTGTCATTCAGATGGTGTCTTTGTCCATGTCAGTTTTCTTGAGTGAAGCTGAACTGATTTAAAATGTCTGAGTATAATTATTCTCTCTGCCTCTGGCATGTAAAGACTGCAAATGCTCATAAAACATGACAGATGACAACCTGTAAAAATAGGGATTTTAAATACCCTGCACATGGACCTTCAGGCCTTGATGGTGAGAATATTAAGTGGCAAGATGATTCATTTTCATC